GGATCCGAATTGGTTTGATTATTTGGGATCCAAAAGGATTTGATATACCTAAAACCCCCAAAAATATTGAAACACGAAAAATACCCAAAATCCAAACAAATACCCAAAATATTGAAATTCCCAAAAAGACCCAACTTGAACCGGTTCTTTTGACTCGAGAAATTATAAAAAGGTCCAGTTTTTGCATACCCAAATTTTTTTAAAAAAATATTGAAACTTAACCCGAAATCCAAAAATTAAATCGAAAAACCTGAACCCAAAACTTAAAAAGTATTTGTAATACTAAAAACAATTCTAAAATACTCAAATATATATACATAAAACATTTCAGGTACTTAGGTACCCGATCAAATCCCGGGTATGATCTTGACTCGAAAAGAGACCTGTAAATCCAAAAAGTTGAATATGTAAACCTGATGATGATGTTGTACCCACGAAGTATGGAAAGTGCCAAACATTAGGAACAACTCGGAGAGGAGTTAGGAACATGAACACGAAGAAGTGAGAACCACTTAAATGGAAGAATCGTCAGAATACTAATTCAGAAATTTTGTATATAATCCAAATAAAAACCCGCGCTTTTATAGCGCGGGTCAAAATCTAGTTGGCCTTTTAATATAGTAAGATTTCATTACGTGGCTTTAGTTGAATTTACTAACCATGGTTATTCATGTGGGAAATATATTATGCATCAGTTTTACAATATATATACATGCACCATAATTTTTTACTGAAAACTTTAAAATACTATTTATATGCAGATTTTGGAAACGTCGTCGTTGTAATCATTTTTATAGGTTTCTATTAATGTTTTACAGTGTTTTATTAACATTTTTAGTTCAAAAACTATTAAGCTTTTGGATTTAATATAAGCCTTGAATTTCTTTCGAAGAAAAACGTTAAGACAGCTCAAACTTTGATTTTGTTTTCTAGAAATAATATATAAAATTAATGTGTAAAATATCTATGGCACAAGTGTATAATTATACAACATCATAAATTTAATATAATTATCAAAATCTATTACTAATAATTTTTTTAAAAATATTTTATATAAATATAATTACAAATAAAAACACAAATATGAAAAATAAATTTTCTAGAAAAATATAAAATCAAAAATATACCCCTTTTAAAAGACAGGTCAGAATCTAATACACGCTTAATTGTGTTTAATTGTGTAGTCTAAGTCGATATAGATGGAACTGACAAGGCTTTGGGCCTTGGCACTGATGATTTCAAGTAACGCCCAAATAGTTTTTATTATTCAATTTTGAGGTTAAGACGTAGAGAGTGTGAAAGTAGTACATAAACTGAAACTAATTAAAACCAACATCTCTAATCATCGTTTAGTCCTTTTATTTTTCAAACTTCTCAAAGGTAAGAGAGATAGTCTTTACTTCAACTTCTTCCACAACTACTACTATTACATTGCTGACTGGAAGATCATCTCAGCGAGTTCCTGCAGAGTTTTGTTTCAAACAATAATCTATCATGAGTTTGTGTTTAAACGAAACAAAAACAGATCCTTGATTTGTAGTAAGAAACTTGTACCTGTTTAGCAGAAGGAACCTTTGGTTCACCAAACTCTTTAGCCTTCTTCTCAAGATACTCGAAATCAGCTTTGCCTTCTTCTATTTGCTTCCCAAGTTCAGAGTTCCAACTTGAGTATCTCTTGCCTACCAATTCACTTAGACGTCCATCCTTTTACCAAATCATCATCACACACAATAGACCAAGTTAATCGATAAAGCCTAACATTCTTTGATTCTTTTAAGGAGATGAGAAGTAACTAACCTCCAAGATCTTGGCTGCATTCCTCAGTCCACGAGCGACTGTGTCCATTCCACTAATATGAGCAATGAACAAGTCTTCAACATCTGTACTCTCTCTTCGCCTGTTTAATCAATACATTATAAGCTTTAAGTTTTTATGAAACAGTAAAACAACAAGACGTTATTACAGTTTGGCGTCGAAGTTGAAGCCTCCTGGAGCAATCCCACCCTGTTTCAAAACATAAGACATCAACACGCCTTCCATCTGAAACTACTACGGCTATGTTTTAACATACATTTTTGATGACACTCATCATAACCATGGTTGCTTCTCCAACATCTGTAAGAAACTGATCTGTATCCCATCCTGTTGAGACAAAGGAGGAAAAATGTTATTCAATCAGAATCTGGAGAAGGGACATTGGTAATGATCAAGAGAATGTCAAAAGTTACCAGTTTGAGCATCGCCAGTGTTTGCATCAATGTTTCCAAGTAAACCATTGATTCTTGCGGTTTCAAGCTCGTGATGGCAGGTGTGACCAGAAAGCGTGGCGTGGTTACACTCAATGTTGAGTTTAAACTCGTTGATAAGTCCGTATTTCCTCAGGAAGTTGGCAGCTGTTGCAGCATCCCAGTCATACTGGTGCTTTGTTGGTTCTTGAGGCTTAGGCTCAATTAAAAGCGTGCCTGATCAAGTTAACATTAAATTGTAAATGATTCAGACAAGAGTGATGACATAGAAGAAGAGGAAGACTTACCGTTAAAACCAATCTTCTTCTTGTAAGCAACAGCAGCTTCAAAGAACCTGGCCATATGATCTAGCTCTCTTTCCATATCAGTGTTCAAGAGTGTCTGATAACCTTCACGACCACCCCAGAAAACATAGTTTTCACCTCCCAGGTAATGTGTAACCTCCATGGCCTTCTTCACCTGAGCAGCGGCGTAAGCATAGACTCCAACCTCAGAGCTGGTTGCTCCTCCGTGCATGTAACGAGGATGCAAGAAAAGCTGAGCTGTTCCCCACAATGGTCTGATCTTGCTTCCCTGCATTTTAAGATGAAGAAGAAAAACTCTTTTCTTAGTTCAAAGATGAAATATAGCCCACATGAGCCTATGTTGAATCACCTTTTGGAGTTCTTTGGCGAGTTCAATAACCTCATCCAAGTTTTTGTTAGATTCCTGCAGAACATTGAATGGAACCAGGTTACAGGCGCTGAGACTAACAAAGTAATAATTATTAATACTGTCTTAAATGGTGTTTGCAGAAGCTTAGGATTTACCTCAAGTGTGTTGCCATCAGGGGCAATGTCTCTGTCATGGAAACACCACCAATCAACTCCAAGCTTCTTCAAGAACTCAAAGTTGGCTCTCACTGATATTTTCCAAAATTAAAACACAAGATTTAGTAACTCACTCAATGAAGAGAAACAAGCAAAAAAAAAGAAGAAGATGTTTTGACTTACTTCTTCTCTTAGCCATAGAGACAGAGTTAGTACCATCTTCCCAGGGCCAATACTTTGTAGCAGCACCAAATGGGTCACCTCCAGTCCCACGGAAAGTATGCCAAAACGCAACACTGAATCTAAACCAGTCCTATTTTATTAAAAACAAAATATCATTAGAACATTTATTCAACAAATCCATAAAAACAAACAAGTAAAAATGTGACTCACCTTCATTTTCTTGCCAAGAATCTCCTCTTCAGCGTTATACCACCTGTAAGCAAGTGGGTTCTTGCTAGAAGGTCCCTGAACAATCAATAAATTAATCAACACATGCTAACAATATGTATCTGATCTAACACATACTATTAGTACAAGTAATGAATGTTACCTCATACTTAATCTGAGGGATCTCAGGGAAGAACTCTCCTTGCCAATCATCAGAACCACTACACTTCCCTCCCAAATCAGCAGGACACGTTTGTGACTCAGCAGACTTTCACACGAATCAAAATCAATTGAAGAGATCAGATATGTAATCAGTAATGAAAAGAAAGAACAAAGATTCAAGTTTTTTTTAGTAAGTCTTTACCACTAGAAACGACGCTGCGTTTAAGCAGCCAAGGATCATAAAGAAACAAACTTTCTTCATAGTTTTCGACCAGATTTAACAAACCCTGTAATAAAAAACAAGTCAGATCGACAAAACACTACTTTGAATCAGATCAAACAGTAACTACAAGGTCTAAAGCTCAAACCCAAAACCCACTTTCGAAAATCAACGATCGCTATAGAGTGAGAAAGAATCAAAAGTCACCTGGCAAAATCTGCTAAGAGTCTATTTTCTTTTCTTTTTTAAAAAACAGAGGTTATGTGATCGAGAGAACTAATAAAAAACGACAACTTCTGTGAAGATTTTTGGATAATTAAGATCCTAGTCATCATGACGTCAGCAGCCGGATTGTTTTTTTAATTGTTTTCCTATTTTGCCCTTAAACATAAATGAAATCGACGGTTGTGATATTATGGGTCGGTGAGCTATAGCAATCGTGCGATTTGTCTCTTTATCCGGATATAGCACGTTATGACTCAGCAAATTCTTCTAATCCTATCTTTAGAGGCAGCAAATAGAAATTATACGATATATATCCGAATTAAAGTAATCAGCTGTCGATAAGTTTTTTTGATCAAATTCTCACAAGAGTTTCGGATAATTTGTAACAGGTTTTTTTTTGTTACTTATTCAAAGTATAAGAACTGTATTTCTAAGATATTTATGTTACCCCGTGAAAAATTAAAATATCCCATAGACTCCGTGAGTCAGTGAAACAACCGAACACATTTAATTGAGTTTTGTGGGCCGCTGAAATATGAGCCTCTTGAAGCCTTATCTGATATATTTGGTCAACAGTCTGATATTTTTTTCTTAGAATAAAATAGAACACGTTAATTCTACACATCTATCTTCGAGATTTGTTTTCCTATAGTGCAATACAATTTGGAATTTTTTTTTTTCAACCGTCCATCTAAATTAGATAAGTGATGATCAGACGAACCGATTCTCCAAAGAATATTTTTTCCTGGTTAGATCTGATCTATATAGAAAAATGTATAGTCTCTAGTCTTTGTTTTTTTTTTCTAGAGCATCCGCTCGACCATTCTTATATTTGAGGAATATGAGATAGACTCACATCCTAAAAATTCTGATGTAATCTCTAGAACATTTCAATCTCTGTCATAAAAGTCGGCCAATCCTCAAGATTTATAATCATTTCCAATAGGTCTGAGTAGTTATCCTTTTATCTCTTATATATGAGGCTGTCCAAAGTAAACCTTCCATCTCATCATGTAAGGCTGAGAGGTTTCTTCTGCACGCTCGTAATCTAAAGATTTCAGAACCCAGTTGATCTTTAAGATTCCATCCTAAGCCACTGACACTGTCATTATCGATCTATGACGCATCAATTTGACATGTAAGAATTCACTGTCTCGATCTCTGTAAAAGAAGGTTTTCATGATTCTCATTTGTTTTTTTTTTCATTAGCATTCCTCCAATATTCTGCCTCAACAGACATTAGTATTAGAGAGTGTCAATCGAGAATACGACTTTTCTATTAAAGAGTGTTGTTTCTCGCCTTCTAAATGTACCAACAGATCCATGAAAATGTGACAAATTGGAATTATTTAAACAAAAACAATCACTAACCCGAGGATTATCCATTCTATTATCTTATAAGCCACTATGCCTGATTTTAACCAAAATTTACTCAGTTTTTCTTGTATATATGCAACAGAGTATAATAATATATATCTTGCTAAAGACATTCTTTCCTCTTAATTGTATGAACCTAATTAACCAATTGGTTATTCATAATCATGACTTCTGTTGTTACTGCAGTAAGCAAGGAAAGGAGCTTTCGTTGTACTAATTTTCGTTTAGACCCGTTTAATGCTAAGCTCGTTTATGTGGATAGTACCCGTTTAGTCCGTTTAGTCCGTTTAGCCCGTTTAGATCCATTTAAGTTTTTTTGTAATTTTACTTTTTGTCAATAATCTTTTTTCATATCTTAAGATAATTTTAGTACTTTTATTTGATTTTATAATAAATAGAAATTCAAATTACAGCACAATTTGAAAAAAAAAAATCTATTTTACTTTTGATAAACATTAATTAGTTCATAATATTATAAAATATCAACAAATTCTAGTAAGTTTAAACACAATTATAATCTGAATCATTTTCTAAAAAAAACTATATATAATATAACTATTTTGTTTCAAAAACATATTTAAAAAATTGTAAATTTTTTTAATATTCGTTTTAAGTAAAATTTTATTTTTATAAAAGCTTTTTAAACAGGCCTAAATGGGTATTTGTTTATTTCATGGGTAGGCCCATTAACAAAACGAACTTAGGCCGGATCCATATAAGCCCGTTATTTTTTATATCATAATAAACGGGTAATGGGTCCGTCCGTTAAATCCGGGGCTTCAAGCCCATTTTAACATCCCTGTATGTAAATGTGTTAATTTCATGGCCGAAGTAGGATTATAATTGCTTATGTGTTTACAGCTTCTAACACGTAAAGCTATAAATTTGTGTTCATTATAAAACTGAAAAGAGATTACAGCTTCTAACATGTAAAGCTATAAATTTGTGTTCATTATAAAACTGAAAAGAGATAGTTCGGTGGGTTACAACCCTATATTATCCCAGTCCCTTCCCTTTATAAGTTGTTTCTGTTCTTATGTATTTCAACTTCACCTTTACAGACAATATGCTATTGTCTATCGTCAAGGTTTTGGTTCAGCTACGACTAGGACTACCACAAAGGATAGAAACTAGTTATTTAGCAGACGAAGGTGATTAGTAAATTAAACAAAAATTGTATAATTCCATAAATTGCATAAACATAGGTTGTAAATTCACACAAGTCATGAAGAAAACATTAAACAAAACTAAAGAGAAACAAAATAAAATCAGAATATTCATCTAGATTGACACATCCACACAAAGTATCAAAATATCAATCTATCAAATTTGTCAATTCCCATAAAAGAATGTTACCATGATCATCGGATTCTGGTAATCACTTTTCTTCCTTCTCCTCCTTCTCCTTCTTCTTTTTCGCTTCCAACTCGCTAAACTTCTTTGCAATTGCTTCAGCCTCAGCAGGCAAAATCTCAATGCGTACCTCATCTTTTTGCAGCTTGCTTAACGCATTAACAACGGATGCAGCATCACCAGAAAGAATGGCCTCCTTCTCAGCTTGTAGCTCGCTTAACATCTTGGCAACCACTTGAGCCCTGTCAACAAGAACGGTCTCTCTTTTGGCTTGCAGATCGCTTAACATCTTGGCAAGCATATAAGTTTCCGCAGCAATAATGGGCTCATAGTAAACAGGGTTGTCATAAAGACAAGTCTTGTACATCTTTCTCGCCTCCTTGCACTTCGTGACTTCACTTTCACTCTCGTTCATCTTGGCATCAGCCAAGCACTTCTCCAATTCTATCCATGAGTCCTTGCACTCACCTCCCTTTATGTAAGTGCAAAAACCGCACTCTTCATTATCTTCCTCTTCTTTTTCCTTTGTTTCATTCGAATCTTCATGAACTAGGGTTTTAGACTCCTCCCGTTCTTGTGTAATAGGCGACGTCTCTCTCTGATTTTGCGATGGGTTCTCTTCTTGGCTTCTAGCGACGTTCACAGAACTTGCACTTCCCATTGGTGACGGAGAGAGATTGACTTCTAGCGATGGATTCTCTTTTTGGCTTCTAGCGATCGAGGATAATCGCATATACTCGTTTCTCTTTTATAAAAGGCTTTTTCTTGAGTTATCCCCAAGGTGAACTTCTTGGTTAACCAACCAATAGGAACAATAAAAATATATTATTTCATATTTGATATCTTTTAGAAAAAGAAATAAAATCTTGTTAAATTATATTATTTTTTAAAATAAAAACAAAATCTTGTTAAATTATATTATTTTTTTAGTGTTTTAGTGTTGAAATATTTTTTTTTTAAAGAATTGTTTTTCATTTTTGTAAATATTTTTATTTTTATTTCATTATTGTATTTTATTTAAAAACATAATAAAACTTAAAAAGATCTTTTTTTTTCCAAAGATATCAAATATAAAATAATAATATTCTCTAAGAATAACTCTAAATAAAAGCTGACACGTCCACACACTTTTGATAAATTTCCATATTTTTGTATTTCTTCTTCCATTGTCCGAGATGAATGTCAAACTCCATATATGGAAACTTTAAATATTGAAAACAAAAAAGGAAAAGGTAAATTTTAATACCTATTTTTTCGTCATGGTTTTCTTGCTGAGGAAGGAACTTTGACATCATTGAAACAAATACTGTATTTCGATCATTCAATAAAACATGCCCTTTACTTTACATTAAACTAATTTGCTAAGGTTATCGAACCATTTAGAATTCTGAACTATTGTAAGCTCTGATATTTAACGTGACAAGGAAGCAACTAAAGCATGAAAGTATATTTTCAAGAGGATTTTTTTTGGCCCAGGTCCACTTTCTATTGTCTTTTGCCGTATCAATGTAATATATATGGATTTAATCTTTTTTGTCAACAGATCTTAATTTTATTTGTTCGAGTATTCTTCTGCCGGAAATTAGTAATTTAAGTACAACACTATCGCGTAAAGGGGTAATCGCTAGATTAAATTTGGGCCTTCTAAAAGCCTAATGTATAATTTTGGTATAGATATAGGAAAACAAATAAAATAAAAGAACATCTCCGACTTCTAACAATTTTTAGTGTCAAAACCATATTTTAATGTAGTTTAATACTAACTAGGTGGTTACCCGTGAATTTTCGGATATAAATAATTTTTAAAATTTAATATAAGATACGATTTATTATGTTTTTGACACATTGTAATATATATATTTTTTAAAATTGAAGATGAATTTTATTTGTTATATATATTATAAGAAAGTAAATTTATATATTTTGATTATTTTATAATTTGCTAAAATATAAAATATGATTAATGTCATTTTCGAATAACTATCTTATGCAATTTTGATTTCTGAATTTCATCCAATTAATGTTATATTACGTTTATGCATCCAATAATATTTATAAAAATAATATATAACGATAAAACAAATAATATTCTAAGATGGTATGTACATAATAATAATTGATGAAATCACAAATAATTTCATTGCCTAATATGTTTTGATTAATTCACTATGTGAATTATTTAATGCTAAACAAATAAAATTTTGATATAAATAACCAACAATTCCTGGTAGTAGAACAATTAAAGACATTATGACAAACTTTCAGTTAAATGATTAGATAAATGAAAACAGTTAGACACATCACATATATATATAATCGTTATGGTTTATAAATAAAGTCTAAATGATTAGTCATATTTTTATATCATTAATGTATAAGATACACAAATAACAAAAACTATTAGCTACTAATTCCTTTTATTTTTAGTTATCTATATAACATGCAAATAATTTTTTTAAGTGTCTTACATAGATTATTTTATAACATTTATAACATAGTTTATCCGTTTTTATTAGATATAGTTTTTAACATTTTTGTCGATGAAAAAGTAACTTCAGTTTTTTATATCTAAAATTAGTTTAACATTTACTTGAAAATTATATATACATATTTTTTATATGATTATCTATACAATACGCAACTAATGAAAATTTCTAGGTACTAACTATCTGCATTTATTTTATTAAATACAAATTTATGACGCAAATCAGAGTATTAGTAGCACAATATCATTAAACACATATTTTTTATATCCATTATTGGTAAGTAGGATTTGTTTGGTATTGATTTAAATTAGTTCTTGATTTAGTTTTTAAACTAAATTAAATAAATCAAAATATAAAATCATCAACAAGAAAATTAAAAAAATTAATTAGAGAACTTTTCTATGAATGACACATAAGCAAAGTCACTAAAATGACTTCTCAATTGATATATAGGAGGCTTTTTTTTCTCTCCAACCATAACACTACATTTCACACTAAAACTTAATTTATATTATTAGATAATTACAGTTTTAACTTGTTATTATTTAATATTTTAAATATAAATAATAATTATTGTGTAATCGTATTACATAAAAAATACTACCCAATAAATTTTAAGAGTTAAATGTTTACTATTTCAATATATAATATTTACAAACATATTAAAAGATTATTTTAATTCATATTGTATTTTAATATAAACATTTATCAACTTTTACATGTAATTTATTTTATTTTTTCTTATTTATTTATTAGTCTATTTAATTAATAAAATAAATGAACAGTGTTTAGTTTGGTATATAATGTAACACCAAAAAAAAAAAATTGTGTGAAATTTGATTGTTACACTAAAATAATACGAGGTGTTGTGTTAATAAGGTGTATGTGAGAAAGAAACTCCTCAACTATCATTCATCGAAACCACCATATGTTAGGTGCTTGTCCAACTTCAACATTGCCTACATAAACCAGTGGTGGTAGCGTAGTGGCGCTTGAGGGAATAAACCCAATAAGGCAAACCCGGGTTCAAATCCCACTGGTCACACGGATATGGGTTATTGCTTTCGATCCATTTGAATGCCCAGGAGAGGGTCTATCCGTGGGCTGTACCTCCACCCGTGAGTTAGATCTGTGTCTTTAATAGACCGGAATTTAACCCTTTTTTTATCAAAAAAAAAAACATTGCCTACATTGATCAAAGCTCCATCTCTGTCACTAGGAACTTGTTGTATATACGGCGCGTAAATCGTTGTTGACCTACATCATGAAAAATGACGAGAAATGACATGTCACAGCTAACAAAATTGACCCCAAAAACTCATTCTTAATAAGTAGATTCTAAATTGGATTCAATATTTAGTTGATTGCATTTTCAATTAATTCATAAGTGAATCGAATCTTACATTTCACTCCGAGTGGCCAACTCCTATATTTAAATCTTACATTTTCAATTAATTTATATTTTATTTTTAAAACATGTATATAAAATTTAATTTTAAAGTAAATGTTAAACTAGTTTATATATTAAGTAAAATAATTTTTCAGCAACTAATCTATGAAAAGTTATATCGATTGTAAAAAATAAATTTTAAACGTATTTAAAATAATCTGTTTAAGAAATTTTTGTAAAAAAATTTCTTTTGCATGTTATTTAGGTAACTAAAATTAAAATAACTTTAGTAGCTCATAGTTTTTTATGAATAATAATTTAAATCTAACTTACAAACCATATCAATTATGTATATGTGGTGTGTCTAGCTGTTTTCATTTATCTGAATTACTTAATTAAAAGTTGTTCATTGAAATTGTTTGGTTATTTATAGCAATTTTTGTTTTTCATTTTTGACGTTAAATAATTCACATGGTGCTTCTAAGTCATATAAACCGATGAAATTATTTTGGAATTTCAGAAATTATTATCATGTACATATAATTTTAAGAAAATATTATTTTTCACGTACATATATTATTTTTTAGAAATATTATTAGGTGTATAAAGATAATGTAATATTAGATTTATTCATATTCAGAAATCTTTAATATATGAGGTATTAATTAGGAAATGACATTTGGGGGCATTCATTAATAATTTTTTAATTTTTTTTACTATAAGTTCTGATAAAATCTAATAAAACATTAAAAATTATATTTTATATTTTTAAAAAGTCATAAAATAATGAAAATAATCTTTCGAATATATATAACCAAACATATTAATTTTGATAAATGAAATATTATACTGTCAAAACATAACAATATTATTTTATATTAGGTTTTAAGAACATTTTTATCAACGAAGTCACAGGTAACCACCTAATCCTCATGTGTATCATCCTAGTGATTTATACCTATGTATTTCTCAGAGAAGAGTTTTCAAGTAAATTATCTTAATTTGATTGTAATTTTGAAATCAATTAATATCATTTTACAAATGATCCAAATAATATGAAACATAATGATTTATAAAAACTAACTTTGAAAAATTTAGAGAATATAACAAAAATAACTATAATCCAAAATCCATAAGATATAATAAATTATTTTCATATATATAGAATTAAAATGAAAAGTTGTTATATTAGAAATCCATATAAATTTACACTTATATTTTAGTTTCAAAATAAAACTAACATTTAATTTAAAAAAATTAAAAATGTATTTTAGTTTCATAAAAATATAATATAATAAACTTTTATAAAGTGTTTGTACCCGCAAAACTGTGGGCAATCTCCTAGTAAAATATTGAAACACTAACAAAAGTTATTGGATGACAACTCCAATATATTTTTATGGCTGTTTGAATTGTGTTGATGGTGTTAGAATCATAACATATTATTAATTAGATAATGTTAGTCATTTAAATTATATATTATGTTGTTGGTCATGTGGTCACGTATATTTTGGAAGTTAACAGTTATATTTTCTATTGAAAAAGGAAAGTAAGAATGATGACACATTTTCATCACGAGCTCGAAGAGCCAGTCTGTCAACAAAGACAGCCAATAATATATCTGATTACTTTAAAACAGCCATTATCATCTAAAGGGTAAAATCTGATTCCGCAAGAGAATTAAACTTTTGGCATCTCTGATGATACTCTATAGTTTTCTCTATATTCTACTTTAAAATATAGTAACTTTATATTTCATTTTATAATAATAACTTTATTATATAGTAAAAAATTGGAACAAATCTAAATCTATAATTGAATTATTGTACTTTAGAATGAATTATAAAGTAAATGATA